TTTGTTTAAGGGGAGATGTTTTTGACTAAACTGAACTGATTGTTTGATCTTAGTGAACTAGGAATGCCTTAAGGAATAAATCAAATGGAGTTGGAAGCTATAATCCTTCAGGCAGTACCTACATAACTGGAAATCCGTTAATTCTTCTGATAAAGTCTTAAAGGAAGTAAAGTGTGAAATACAAAGAAAATGAGATTAATGTGAAAAAAGAATGAGAAAGAGAGGAATGCTGTATTATGCCTGCTTCCTTTTGAGAAAATGGAAGATGAAAGGCAAAATACACAGACATATAGAGTGTGAACATCTTAAAATCTTTCATCTTTACAGCATCTTTCTGTTGCTATGCAACTCAATGACATGTAACCCTCTTCTGGGTCAAATATAAGTGAGATGCTAGTTCTATAAACTAAATAGAAAAGATTGAAACCGTTATCTTGCACCTGGTCTGTTGAGCTTGGTTGGATTTTATTGTCCAGAAATTATTGCCAGAATATTGTGCAAATGCATAACAAGTCCTAAATGAGGAACGTAAAATTCACATGGCTCATTTGTTTTGACCAAAACTTTATGTACATGTTGAATATAAATAAATAAATGTGTGTGTATATACATACATAAATGTATGTATATAGGTTTTTGAAGATGCTTACAAATCTCAACTAAGCATCATAATTCTTGATGATATCGAGAGGTAAGTTGTGCTTTAGTCTGATTTTGCTCTGTAGATTCCTAATACCACTTGAACATATGACTCGAAGACATTATTCCATGTAATAGTTGATTTCTTTGGTAGCTGATTCTTGACTAACATCCACTGACAAATGGAAATAATCTTGTATTACAGGGCTTGTTCTTTTGGTTTGTATCTGTATTAACTTACTGTGACTCGATGTTTTTTGTAATGTTCAATGCTTCAGGTTATTAGAGTATGTAGTTATTGGACCATGTTTTTCGAATTTGATTTCACAGACATTACTGGTTCTCCTGTAATGGCTTGCTACAAAGATTCTGTTCTTGTTTACTGTATTAAGCTCCTCTCAAACTCGGTAACGAAAAAAAACGAAAGAAAGCTATGTTATGTGTGCTTGTCTTTTCATGTACTAAACTATAAGTGACCTATGTGTTATCTCTAGTTTCCACTGTGCCAAAGTTGCTTATTGTGATTTTTTTTATCAGTGAACTATGCATTATGTATAACTCTTTTGTTTGTTATATACACAAGGCATACATTTAAAAATTGCATGCTGAATTGTGTTGCCTTTTGTATGTTTGCCATGTCTTAATTATTGTTCAGGGTAAGAACGTGTTGGTACTTGGGACGACAAGCGAGATGGAATTTCTGGAGTCTCTCGGGATATGTGATGCATTCTCTGTTACATATCATGTTCCAAAATTGAACAAGGAAGATGCCAAGAAGGTAAAACGAACATGCATGTAGATTTGTATCTTGTTTTAGCTGGTACCCACTTTTAACTCTTAGAGGTGTACAAAAGGCTAGAGTAGTATTAGTGATGTCCATTTTTTATATTACTACTTATAAAGTCTAAATGAATAGAAGCATGAATATATACTTAACAGGGCAATTAATTGTAGGATAAATATAAAATTCTCTTGGACTTCTTATATATGCTTGTCAAGTTCCATTAGATTATCATCTCTTCAAAAAACTTTGAATCAATGTTGCTACGATTTACAAGTTTTATGATCGTCCTTGCTGGATTATGTATTTCCTAAAGGTTTTTCAGGCGATGATTCGCGGATCTGAATCCAACCAGCTCAGGGCGGCAATGTCCCTACCAGGTGTGTATATTTGCTTTTGACCTGAACTTGTGAAACCTCTGTCCAGGTCCTTCTTTTTCAGAGACCATACGACGTTCTCGTGTTGAATGGTAGTGTTTTGGTTCAGCCACAACTGAGAGGTATGGTTGAGCATTTTTGCTTAAAAACAATATTGTTTTGCTTTAAAAAATGATATCAAGCCAGACAAGTAGTAGATAAGGGCGAGCCGGAAACCTGAGGTGGTTATCTTCTGATTAAAAAGGTGAAAGGTGCTGCGACGAAGACGAGCAACATGCTAAGTTTAGTCCACCCTCCAGGATTCGAGATCTTTTTGCGACGAAGACGAGCAAACGAGACGAGAGAAATTTACGTAACATACTTTGTCCGCCTGTAGCTGGCGGCAATAGAACAAACAAGGCGAGACAAAAAAAGAAAAAGAAAGTAATCATACGACTTTGGTGCGAATCTTCAGATCCGTCCTGCCTCGAGTTCTTGCTGGTATGTCGGCCGCTTTTTTAGCTTACCTTTTCTTGTCTTATTTGGCTGGTAATTTGATTCCTACCTTCTCCCCCACCCCACGCATCAGTATGATTTAATGTTCATGTTATGGCTTAGAGCTATGAATAAGATACAGATGTCGTCATCAAGTTTAGGAGGAACACACACAATAAAACCAGATGGGTAGATGGCATCAGAGAACCAAGACACCTTGGCTCCTACACTTCTCAATCGTTGGCTTTTGTCCCCAGAGAACACAACGGAAAATCACTCAAATATATATAAATTTGTTACAAGGAAAAAAAAATGTAAATACGAAGCAAAAAAGGATAAATTACTTAAAGTATTTACTTTTAGTTTTTCTCGTAGAGCACTCATCCCTCAATAAACAATAGTCATGAATAAATATTTATTTTTGTTATAAATAGAATTATTAAGCAAAATTAATCATATTTTTTTTTAAAAAATAAAAATGGTGATCTTGAATATAATCAATATTTTACTATTTGGTGCATCACTGCAATGGCATTGCAGTGACATTGGGTTTAATTAATATTTATCACAAATAAGTTTATTTAACGATTTTATTATTCATATTTATAATATATAAATGGTATTACTATATGATGTTTTGTCTTCATAATTAATTATATGATTTTTTATTTTTATAGTATTCATAAATTTCTAATTTCTAATATTACTTTTAAAACTATTTATATTTTGAATGTTAAAAAGGATATAAAAAAAAAAAAGTTTACGTCGTGAAAGAAGGCAAATCCCATTAAAAAAAATGAAAGCAGATGAATGAATTACCTATCGGACTCCAGAATTATAACCCAAAGTACAGAGGAGGACGGAATACGACGTACAGAAGAGCTTTCGTGTTGATCTAATTAAACCAGACTTGGAATCCAAAGTAAAAGAGGCCGACTGAACACGATCACCGCACTCAGACACGAGAAGACGACGAAAGAAATGAAAGCTTCCGTGTGAAAGCGGTCTGCCTTTCTACCCCGCATCGGGAAGGGGAAACACAAAAAAAAAGATCAGGAAGATGATGCTGACACGAGAGGTGGAAGGACGTTTACCGCTCTCCCATAATGGAGATTCCTTTGGATGCTTCTCCCGGTGGCGTGTGTGGAGCACAGACACTGAATGTGGTCCGTCGCTCCAATCCCTCACGTAATCGGGCCGTCTCCGGCTATAAATAACCCCCCCCGACTGAACGAACGCTTCTAACCAGGAACGCATACCACACCAAAATTTGTTGAGCCTTTGTGCTTAGTTGCTTCTCGCCATGTCGACCTGCGGCAACTGCGACTGCGCTGACAAGAGCCAGTGCGTGTAAGTTCTCTTCCTCCCCGCCCTCACACCGCTCTGCCATACACACAACAAATATGCTGAGGGTTGAGTTTAATATTGACCAAAAGAACTCGGGTTTGCTCCTGCAGGAAGAAGGGAAACAGCTACGCTATCGAGACTGTTGCGACCGAGAAGAGGTATTATTGATCTCTCTCATGGGTGAGGGTGTGGGAGTATCTTGTCCGCATGATGAAATTCCACACAACATGATGACTCAGCAAACTTGATCCTTTTATTCTTGAAAAAACAACTCAAAAAAGAAGTAAAAAAAAAAACAGAGAATATATCTGCGATTATTTCTTTTTGAGTGATGCCATAGCTTAAAACTATTTTCAAAGTCGAAGCATAATGATCAAACCTACCGATGGGCGGCATATCCCGTTGTACTATACCCCACTATATTACCTTAAAATTTTCAGGAACACGAGAATCTTATGGTCTGCAAATTCTTTTAATTTGATTAGGAGAGAGAGAGAGAGAGAGAGAGAGAGAGAGGGGTTCTCTGAGACAACACATATTACCTACCTCTTGATGAATTAGTAAGGATGATTAAAAGTAAGCCATCTAAAGCAGAGTAACTACTTACGTTTCTTTCATGTCATCTCTTACAGCTACTTGGATGCTGTAGTCGATGCCCCAGCAGCTGCCGAGACGGAGGGAGACTGCAAGTGTGGTCCTTCCTGCGCCTGTGTTGACTGCCAATGTGGATAGTGACAGCTTCTTAGCTAGTAATGACAATATATAAAGAGTGGAATTATGTTCGAGTAAATAACTTGGGGCTTGCAGTGGCTAATCGTTTATCAGTGTGTCATGATGTCAGATGGGATAGGGTTGTGTCTGCCTTGTCTACATTTGTACTGTTATCATAATAAATAAAGAATTATTAGTATTAATTTGGTTTCAGGTGATAACTACTGCTCCTTTCAACCGAATCACTACTGTTACGTGAACAAACATGCACGATTCATGAACTGAAACTTAGTATTCTTGCGATGCATGAATCATGCATGTTTGATCACGTAATAGTAGTGATTCAGTAGGACGACTTTTGTCTATTTAACTTCTGCTTTGGGTTGCAAAAATATGTTCTTCCTGATTCACGAAAGAGGGTGTCCATGAGCATTCGGCTATTGAGCGATGTTGGATGAGGTCTCAAAGGGAAGAATTTATGCTTAGGACTCTGAGTTCGATGGTTGCCACCGACCTCCTCAAGTACCAAGACACATACCCTTCCTTCCAAGGCCTATCCAACATCGTTCGTATCGTCGACTTCACCCCTCCTTTGGAGGCCTCATCCAAGTCATCTTACTGTAGTGATGATGAAGATGGGACAGCATCAAAGAAGCTTTGCAGTCGATGCTGATATCTCACTCCCTATTTGAAAGGCCTACATGAGGTAAATATTACTTACATTCATTAATAAAGAACAAAGAAATAAACAAGCAGTTGAAACATCATCTTCTTAGAGGCCGGAAACACAAATGGTTGAAGAATAACTATATCATCGTCAACATAATAAAGAACAAGGAAACAAACAAGCAGTTGAAACATCATCTTCGTAGAGGCCGTAAACACAAATGGTTGAAGAATAACTATATCATTGTCAACATAATAAAGAACAAGGAAACAAACAAGCAGTTGAAACATCATCTTCTTAGAGGCCGGAAACACAAATGGTTGAAGAATAACTATATCATCGTCAACATAAGATAGAAAAATTTCCAATGACAAGGAGAGGATTTAAAATCCTAAAGAGCCAATGAAGTATCCTATTTTGATTAGAAGATAAGAGTAATGACACAAGAACTCCGCATCATTGCCAATCTTAGAAACAACTTTTTTGAGAGAGCCTACCAACTTGATTCATGAGATCAAGAATAATGTTAAACAAAAAAGAAACAATCATCCAGATCGACAAAACAACAAGCGAGAGCAGAGGTGCCAATCAAGTACTAAAACTGCACGCTGGCCATGATGCGATTCAATAAAATAAAGATGACTAAATCAATACCCAGATAACTGATGTCTGCTTAAAACTAAATCAATACTCAAATATCAGTTCCAGAATAGATGCATCATAACAATTAAACAAGTCGAAGCATTTGCTGATAAACTGAATTCTCCTTTCAGAAGAAGAATTCTTATGTAGAAAGAGGTCACCAAGATCTTCTGCGCCAACACAATAAGCAGCACAAAGCACAAGCCAGCTATGATCTAAACTTCCCAACTCATCTGAAACTATCAGCTTCCAAAGATTTAAACACTTGTTCTGGAATTTTTATAATGACTGATAAAAAAATATTTAATGTAAAACATAAAAACTTTAGTGAATGCCTACAAACTAAGAAAATAAAAATAAATAGAAAAAAAACAGTAAATAGAAACCTCTTCCTTGCTCTCAAGAGCCACCGCCGCATGCCGTGAAACCTCTTCCTCAATATAACACCTCTGTTGGATATACCTAATTTTACTCTAAAAAAAAAGAATGACGAAACTCCACATGGACAATGGATCGAGATCTTGATCTTATGTACTTGTATATCAATTTGATAACTCAATCCTAAAAATGATCCCACGATATAATATATTGATATACCATATATCATTAATACATCAATGTAGTGATGATTATAGTCTAATCATTGTAAATCACATGTGCCCGAGACAGTTCCTAGAGCAAGGATGATTGTGGCGTGTACTGGTACGGAGCATGGATAATGTCAGAACTTCTATTTTCGAAGGTTCGCAATACCGTACCGTACCGGAGTTTCGATCTGGGCTCGGTACCGGTACGGTACGGTATACCGCTCGGTACACCCAGGTGTACCGAGCGGTATATTCAGGCGTGCCGAGCACTGTAGCAGTGCTACACTGCTACAGTGTCGGAACGGTAACATATGGTCCGCGTACCGAAAGTCTGTCGGACCGGTACGTACTGCCCGTACCGGGCGGTACGGACCGGTACTGCAAACCATGCTATTTTCACCATTGATTTATTGCTTTGATCATAAGATTGATCACCGTATTACTGTTCGGAGAAGTGTGACCAACTACCACCATACTATTATTGGTCGTAAGATTCTTCTTAATATGATGACTGTGAATACGATGAGCTTCGCTATGTGTTTGCATCATATAGGCTCTATCGCATCATGCTATCTATGTGGCATTTTGTACAAAGAATGTAACAAGGATGCACATTCTCTTGTATGTGTTGCAAGAAATAAGGGTGTCTCTTGTACAGTTATTTTGTACTCACATGACCTATTAC